ATATCATTTTCAAAAACAAAACCATTGAATAGAAAATTTTTGGTTACAATGTTAAAATTTTGCAACTAGCTAACATTGACTGTTTTTTTCGTACTCATTTAGTGGTTTAGTCGCTTATGTCATTGACTACATTTAGGATTGAAATGAAGAGCTTGCAGAGCACTATAATTTTTTGGTTTGGGTACTGTATGATCAATCAGCTATCATTTCATTTTTGTGCCCTCAGTTTCCTCATTTTATATGTTAACAAGTACTAATAATAATAGTTAACATATGCCAAGTGACAATAATAAGTTGCTAATATAAGGCTTATATTTCAATGAGGAATAAGGTGATATTGAAATCAGTCACAGAGACATATTTATAAATAATGCAGCACCAATAACAACAATTCTTCTATTAAAAGTTTTACATATCTTCCTATTAAAAAGAATAGACAATACATATCTGATAAATGTAATAAATTGATAGACTTTATTATTTAGCAACAAATTGCTAAGATATAAAAACAATAAAAGAATGAAATAATATAATAAAATATATAACTTTAATTCTAATCATCATATAGAATGAAATCTTTATTATAATAGCGGTTAATGATGTTCGAACTTCGAACTAATAGGTGCCATGACCTTTTTAATCTTAAGGAGGTGTATGTATGAATAATTTGATGAAATATTCATATATAAAAGTAAAGGTTCTGAAATTTATATATTTAGATATACAATGTATTAATATTTTTATAAGTATATTAAAAAACAATTACTACATAATAACATATATACATATTGCTACATACGACTATAAATATTTTATTTTACTTGTTAAACATTTCCAATCTACGAAAAAACTAGATATTATGTGCATGGAATAAAAGTTATTAAGGATATAAAAATTATAATAATATAAATAATAGAAAATACAGGGCTCGCTCGAAATCTCAAACACTTGTAGACGTGAGTGCTATATTATGTGAACAAAAATGTTAACATTACATACTGTATGTATTATGTATGTATATATTAATATATATAATTTCATTTCATATATCTTTAATTTTTTCTATTAAACAAAACAAGAAAAGCCATTGAATAGCAAAAAGTAATTCCTCCTTTCAAGAAATAAGATTTAATTGAGGCGAATGTCAGTATTTGCCGAGATACTGTATATCAAAGAATATACTATTAACATAAAGTAACACTTCAACTTAACAACACTTGATCAAAAAATTCTAATATCTTAAAAATAGTTGATTCAAATAAAATACTCGCTTTTCTGATCATTATTTTAGTAACTAATAATTCTATATATTTAAATGAAGTCAAAAATAATAGTTCAAAATTGATATTTTTAAAAAATTCTCAATAATTTATTTTTAACTTCTTTAACATTTTTTACATTTTAATTATTTTCGGTATACTAATACCCTATTACATTGCGAACATTCTTAGTTCTTACAAAACGTTCCCCGAAAATACCCTACATATGATTATTTTTTTGTTTTATTATTAAAATAATGAACTTAACTAAAACTAAATTAGCTTTATTCTGTTTACAACTAGAGTAAGATTTCGTTTTATGGTATATTGAAATTAATAGAAATTAAATAAATTTTGACACATTTTTTGTAAGCTTTTAATATTATTTATGTTATATGATCGATTGTTATTTATTAAGATAATCTATAATATCCTTCAATATTGTTTTAGATCTCTTATTCTTGCATAAACAGGAAACCAGTTCTTATTGCATACTTTTTGCATTGCTTATTGTCTACTTAACGATTATGTGACCTACCCCGGTGGTATCATATTTAACATTATACAAAAATAATGAAATTTGGTCCAAAAAATCTTTTGTTAATTTCTATGTTAGATATTTTATATTTACAAAATCTATTTAGTTAACTTTTATTAATCAACAATACTCTAGATTCTTAAAAATATATATAAATGGTTTATATATCTTTTAAATAATTTTTGATAATTTTTTTACGTTTACATATGTACTTACATTTTCACAAAAAAAGTTGTAAAAGTTTACACCTAGAAATTCTGATTCCCCTACCTTTGAACTACCTTTAAATATTATGGTCTATTTTCTGTTAAACAAGTTATATTATTCTTGTTATTCAGTAGTAATAATACCAATACGTTTGAAAGAATATTTAAATATACAATACACTTCGATAATCCTGGCCATTATGACTTAGGTATTGTTCAGATTACAGAAATTTCGAAAGTACAGAGAGGTTTTCAAATTTACTATGTAAGATGTCTATATTAGATATAAGATATCTATATTAGATATAAGATATCTATAGTAGATATAAGATATCTATTTTAGATATAAGATATCTGTATTAGATATAAGAAATTTAATTATGAATCATGCTTGCAACTGAACTTTCAAGCATGACATATACAAATCTTTATATTAATGACTAATGTGAGTAAAATTCGCCATTTGAATAAGGCAATAGTAAGCAAAACTTAAAACCCATAGAGTATCATCTTAAGGTATTCCAATACCGAAAATCAATTTCCAAGCACATATCATAATTTGTGTATACAAACAAATATTCCAGATTTTAGTTTATATATTAAAACTTTTTATTAAGATCTTTATATATTGAAATAGAAAACTCCTGAATTTATTGTGTACAAATAAACTGAGCAAAATGAAGTTCTTTCCTTGCTCTAGGAAACGACACAGATCGTATGGGTGTAAAATATTAACTTTCAATGTTAAAGTAAATACACAATATCAAAGAAAATTAAAAAGTGATAGAAATATATTAAATATTCTCCAATTTGGTGTCTCATTTGTTATTCTAACACATTGAGTTTGATTTTTTTTATATATATAAATATATAACAAATAAAAATTGAAATCAAAATAAAAATTGTTAACATTTTTTTTTTGCTCGTTATGTTTAGAACATTTCCAAGGAAAAAATTTCATATTCAGTAATAGCATTTGTAATAAGTCTCTTAAAGCTTATACAGACTTTTCTATTATTAAACTAAAGAATCACCACCTATAATATATAATTCATATTTTCAACAAATTACTAATTATATTGAATTTTGAATATATATTAATTAAATTAAAAATAAAAGCATATATAAAGTTAGGAGCTATGTACATATAGTACCAACTGTTTGTTGTTGTAGATCAGTCACCACTTAACCTATATTTTTCTTTGCTTCTATAGTAGATATAAATAAAAAAAACATATGTTTTCTTTGTGTGATTTCTGTATGCTCCACAAACTATTTATAGGCTAGTTGAGATCTCGAAAAAATACCCTATTGTCATGCGCAAGACATTTCAGATTATGTTAATTTTTAATCTCTCTGAGAATTAATCGCGAAACTTTTCACGAATACCCACGAAGATTTTGTTTACATTACATTTCCCACTATTTATATTAAACAAAAAAATTTCTTACTGTCAAAATTATTTTTAGAGCTAAAATTGTTTACAACTAAATATAAAATTTTTTAAAAACACAAAATAGTGGGATTTTTTTTTAATATTTAAAAATACTTTTGAACCACAAAATTATTTAAAAATATTTTTGAACAAAAAATATTGTTTGCTGTTATATTTTTTACTTTATATTAATTCGTTTTATAACAAAAAACATTTTTATTGTCTTATATTTATAGTTGAACAACATGGAGGGGTTGGTGGCACGTACATCCAACCAGCACTAACACACGTGTATGCACAAGGCGATATATCACCACCAATTTTTGAACAGATCTTTAAAAATGCTCGCTTTGCCCAAGGAGGTAATGCTTTATTTGAAGGTAAACTCCGTGGTAATCCAAAGCCATTCGTAACATGGACTCGAAAAGGCGCACCACTTCTTGAGTCACAAAAGTTTCGTATGTCTTATAATGAAGCCACTGGAGAAGTTTCACTTTTGATAAATCAAATTGGGCCTGGCGATGAAGGTGAATATACATGCACTGCTCGTAATCAATATGGCGAAGCAATTTGCAGTGTATATATACAGCCAGAAGGCGCTCCTTCGCCGGTTATAAAGCCTGTACAAACATTTGACAAATCCATATATACGAATGGATATTCATATACCTCAACGGAAGAAGAATTTCGTGTAGACACATTTGAATATAGACTTCTACGTGAAGTATCGTATAGAGAGGCTATAACACGCCGTTCCTCCTATGAACAAGACTATCATTTAGTTCAAGAAGTAGATCGTTCCTTGGGTCCTGCCCATGCACCACAAATTGCACAAAAACCAAGGAACTCTAAGTTAATTGAAGGTTCAGATGCTGTATTCACTGCTAAAGTAGGCTCTAATCCAAAACCACGTTTAACATGGTTCCGTAATGGCCAGCGATTAGTGCCATCTCAGAAATACGACATATCGTACTCCAATGGATTGGCCACTTTGCGTGTTAAGAATGCTAATATACAAGATGGTGGACACTACACTTTACTTGCAGAAAATACACAAGGTTGTGTTGTTTCGTCTGCTGTTTTAGCAGTTGAACCTGCCGCAGAATCTGCAAATGAACCAAAACCTGTAGACAATATGGCTGAGCAATTGGAATCCGGTAAAGCTTTGCCACCAATGTTCGTTAAGGCATTTGCTGATCGCGAAATTACAGAAGGCCGTATGACGCGTTTTGATTGCCGTGTAACAGGAAATCCATACCCAGAAGTGTTCTGGTTC